CACAGCCCCACCCCTCCATTCCGGGGCTGATGGACCCACTGCAGCCCCTACTCCCCCACACTCCCACCACATGTGGGGATGGTTCGTGCTCGCTGCTGCGCTGACACTTTGCCAGTTCTCAAGCAAGAAGTGTTTCTCCCAGTCTCCAGGACTGTGTCCTGAAATGGGCACATCTTGGCACCATGCAACATCCCTCATATGGGAAGCGGGGCCGGCAGCAGGCCTGGCTCAGAGCTCCTGGAGGAGCAGGGGTTCGCGTTCCACCATGCTGGGACGGAGCATTTGCCCTTGCCGTGGCAGATGGTGGTCCTGAGGCAGCCGGGCTCAGAGCCATCCCCACCACAGGTCACTGATGCTCTGCCCAGCCCTAATTCTACCAGCGACCGGCCGCTCTGGCTGTAAATCTTGGTGGCTGGCTCTGCCTGCCACCAGCACAGCCCCTTCTCATGATTAATAGTAATAATTAAATTCATATCAAGCCACACAGAAACATCATGGGGCAGCATGGCAATAAAAGCCACTGTTGGGATGCTGACAGCCCAAAAGGGATGAGCAGGCGATGCACTGTGGCCCCAGGAGGCTCTGCTGACTTACAGTGGGGTAAATAAGCTCATTCCTGTGTGCCCGGGGAAGCCAGCCTCACGACTCCCTCCTGCTGGGCCCGGTGGGGTCCAAGGTGGCCACGAGCATCTCCTCCTCCCCCTGCCACACACCAGGGCACAGGACGGGCAGGGCAGTGGGCACGGCTCCGGGCACAGACGGGCATTTGGCCAAGGCCCTGGCCTGGCAGCTTGCCAGTGCAGCAGCCGTCAGCCAGCGCTGCAGAAAGCCTGGGGTGCTCAGGACGTGTCCAGGCCCATCATGGGCCGGTGCAGCCTCTTCCCACCGTGCGCAGTCATGGCACGCAGCACAGACAGGACCGGCCTGCCCGCCATATGCCTCCAGCCAGCTTTTCACACAAACTCCTCCTTTGCCTCATTGGCCTGGAGCCACCCCGAGCACCCTGTGGCCCCCCAGCTGCAGCATCCCAGCCCCTGCCCGGGCAGCACCACATGCCCCGGATCTTGGGGCTGTTCTCCAGGCTGCACCTGAGTAACATGAGGAAGACACAATTTACATGAAGCAGAGCAAAGGTCTCAGGTCCACCCAGGGAAAAAGCCCGGCCAAAGTGCAGCACATTGTCCTTGGCAGTGTTTGCATTAAACACAGTCCATCCGACCCGCGGGAGCCACCCCAGGGCATGCGCTGCAGCCTGAGTCACCTCTCACTGCCGTGCAGCAGCCAAGCATCACTCACCTCCCCTGTAATGGCTCCATGACACCGGCAAAGGGCTCTCATTAACAGAATATAAAGTGCAGTGAAAATAATTGATGATCATCTCGTAGCAATTGATTATCTGTCTCCCGTAATGCTGCTTTGCTCATACATTAAGGGGCTGTTGCTTTTCCCTGCAGAGTCCAGACCAGGCAGCAAAGGCTGAGCACACAGCCATGGCTGTGCCGTGTCTGGGGGGGGGGGCCAACCTCAGGGCTGAACCGGGGCACTCACTGCAGGAGTACAGGCAGGCAGAGAGCACTCTGCCTGTGCCGGGGCACAAGCCGGGAGCCAGCCCTGTCCTGCGGGCGGCCCGAGGAGGAGGAAGAGGAAGGCTTCCCCGCGGGCTATGAGTTCGTCCTGCGGGTTCCTCCGGTTCCTCAGCTGCAAACTGGGGAGTTTGGGTGATGCTGGAGGAAGCATCTCTGCAACCATGGTTAATCTCAAAGCCTCTGTGGGAGCAGAGGTGGGCGCCACGGGGCTGTGGTCATTCCCACTCCCTCGCCTGCAGCAAGAAGGTGGCAGCCAGCAGCGGCCACCCCGCCGCTTCTCCCTGCCCCTGTCCCAGCCAGGATGGGCACCTGCTGCCTCCCGCCGCAGTTGAGCCCGGGCTCTGCACACCCAGCCGGGCAGCCCGGGCCATGGGACAGAGTTGCCTTTCCCTGCAGCTGCCCTCCTTTCCCTGGCACAGCACTCGCCTCAGCATTGCCCAGGCCAGCGCCTTCGTAGGCGGCTGGGAACGGCAGCGGTTGTTTGCAGAGCAGCAGCCCCGAACAGTCAGCTGGAGCTGCACACTCAGCAGAACCCAAATCTCCCGAAAAACCTGAATAAACTCCCTGGGCGGAGCAGGAGCCGGGCAGGGACCCAGATCCCCTCCTCATGCTTGTCACATGAATGAGCTCTACAGTCCGGCTCCCCCCTTCACCGGGAAGGGGATTGTGCTGCATTGTGGGGAGGATTAGGCCATTTTGGGAGGCCAGGAGCATCTGTGCATGCAGGGCTGCTATGGGACTGTCCTCTCCCCTGCCTGCTCTGGCCCCTCGCAGTACCACAGGCATCATGGCAGGAGCTTCCTGCCGCATAGAAAGGGGAGATGGGCCCAGGACACCCATGGGGCTGGGGTGCACTTGGGCACCCCAGCGAGGCGGTGGGCGGGGGGAGGGTGTCCCAACGCCACAGCAGAGGCAGCAGCCGCTTCCCCGCCCCCCGCCCTGCA